TGTGCTATATAGCTATCAAATGGGCAGCTCCCATCACCATAGCACAGAAAGACATTTGTAAGCCACATATTCCTCCTCCTTTCTTAAGATACTGTGCTTTTTTTTTTTTTTTTTTTTTTTTGTACTGGCCTTGGGGCTTGGACTCAGGTCCTAGGAGCTATCCTAGGTTTTTTTTCTCAAGGCTAGCACTCCATTACTTGAGCCACAGCTCTCTTTACTTCTGGCTTGAGTGAGGGAGGGGGTGATTAATTGGAAATAAGAATCCCATAGACTTTCCTCCCCAGTCTGTCTTTGAACCTTAATCCTTAGATCTCAGCCTCCTGAGTAGATAGGATAATATGCATGAAACCACTAGCACCCAGCTTTCAATATGCTGTCTAATATTTTAAAAGTAAGACTTAGATTCTTTTGGTCCTGTGTAGCCCTGAATCACAGATCTTCCTAATTAGCTATTGGTGGTAAAAGGAACTCTGGACAAACAAGACAATGTGGGCGTCAATTGGTACAGAAGCATGAAGGAGACAGAATTCTGAATATCAAGTCCATTTAGCAGCAACTTGTTAAAGGCTAAAATGTTTGACAGAGATTAAAAAACCTGCTGTGCATTTATTAACCACAGAAGCAGCCTTGTAAAATTCTCTGCAAGAATCCCCCATTAGCCATTTGAGGTTTGGCTAATGGCATCTCTCACAGACCACAGCCATTAATCTCAAATGTTCCAAGTTCATTGATTGTCCTGCATTACTGAATTCAAGTTAGCATTTGTAACTCCTGGAGATTCAAAGTATTTTTACTTTTATGAGAATGAAAAATATCTATATGTTATCCTTTTCTCTGAGCAAAGGAAAAAAATAACAAGTGGATGCTTTCATGAATAGCTTACCTGAAACAATGCATGCAAAGTCATTGTATCAACTAGGCTTCCTAACGAATGCTTTTTCTGATGGAAGCTCCTCCCAATTTAGGTAATACAAGAATCTTTGGGAATGGAGCCCTGACCCAGCGAAGGGAAAAGGCATCTCAGGGTCAGAGAAGGGGAAATTGCACCATGTATATGGGTAAGAAAGGTAATGCCCAAGGAAGGGTGATTCATAGCAAAGGTTGCCTTGGCAAATCCCAAGGCAAATTACAGCTCAGTGGGGATTCAGAATTCACTTCCAGTTCCTTCCAAAACCCATCCTTTGAGTCAGTGTTCATCTTCAGTTTAGTAGTGGCGAGAGGAGCGACCTTATCAGCACATGGAGAAAGGATGATTCTTTGTTGCTAGGCACTGTCTTGTGCACACTGTAGGATGTGTATATACTTGACTCCAGTCACCAATGTAGCACTTTGTAATCTCTGACACAAAAGACTTCTTCAGACTTACCCTAGGGTAGACATTACTGTTCTTAGTTGAAAGCTTTATAAACCTGGGATATATCAACAAGTAGAGTGGGATTTGAAAACAGTGGTGAGAATGTACGTCTGAGCAGGAATTGAGTTAGGGAAGATCCCATGTTTCTCTCCATCTCCACACCTAGATGGAGAGTTAAATGTGCTGGTAAAGAAAGAATGACATTCTGAAGACCACCACAGCATGCCATTAGAGAAAAGGCTCAGTACTTGCTGTGAAGCAAGTTTGAAAGGAAATCAAAGACTGAAATGCACTGGAGGCAGTACTCAAAATAACTGACAGTAAATGACTCAAGCCATATGCCATGGTCCTTTTGAAGAAGGAAGGGTTGTTTCTTTGAAGATGGTTTGCCGTCTGCTTGACATTTGTATGTGGTATACAGGAGACAAGCTAGATCTCATTTCAAAGCCAGACTGGGCAGGGAAGTCCGTGCAGCTTCTATCTCTAATTAACCACCAAAGAGCCAGAAGTGGAGCTGTGGCTCAAGTGATAGAGTGCTAGCCTTGAGCAAAGAAGTTCAGGAACAGTGCTGTTCAAGTCCCAGGACCAACACACACACACACACACACACACACACACACACACACACACACACACACACACACACACACACACAAATTCAGTATATCAAAATTCATTGACTAATTACTTACAAGTACATGTCATGCTACTTGGACAGTTCTGTACAAATGGCTGTTCATGTCAGGTGGGTGATTTCAATATTTCAAGAACTCTCCAGTTTCCCCAGTGTTGCTGCTAAGAATTTCTCTGTTCTCCCTCCCTACCTTTCCCATTGCCCTTCTCAGTCCCATCTTCCTGTTTTTCCATCCTGGGATCAGATCGTCTGCAAGGAAGGAGGTGGTAAGGGACAGCTCATCTCTCATCTTGCCATTATGAGCCCATCTTCACTCCTTTCCCTAGTTCTTTAATAGCAACACCATTAAAAAGGCAAATACTACTTGCCAAACCCTAGGCTAAGGCTTTTTGAGAGTGTGTGTGCGTGTGTGTCTGTGTGTCTGTGTGTGTGCGTGTGCATGTGTACCAGTACTGGGGCTTGAAATCAGGGCCTTGAGATCTCATTTGGCTTTTTGGCTCAAGGCTGATGCTCTACCATTTGAGCTCCACTTCCACTTTTTGGTGGTTAATTGGAGATGGGAATTTGATGATCCTTTCTGCCCAGGCTGGCTTTGAGTGATGGTTCTCAGATCTCAGCCTCCTGGGTAGTTAGGATTATAGATGTGAGCCAAGAGCACCCAGCCTATTTGTTATTTTGAAGTAGAAAATTTTAGCAATTATCCCTCCAGAAATTTGCTTTAAAGATTTTTAAAACAATATCATACTCATGAACTGAGTGAGTGATCCACCTGGTGCCTTTCACCCCTGAAATTCTACACATGACGTTTGTGCATCATAACAATATTCTCTTACATAACAGAATTAAAGCACCAGCATCAGAAACTGAGTAGCAGAACATCACTACCGTCTAATTGTGATGCCATTCACAATGCTTCAGGTGTTCCTGTAAAGTACTTTATTGCAAAATAAGTCAGTTCAAAACCACCTGTTGCATTTAGTTGTCATGTCTCCTGCAGTCTAGAACGGCTTGGTCTTTCCTTGATTTTCATGAATTTGGCACTTGTGAAGAATACAAGCCAAAAAGTCCTTTCCTACTGTTTCTTTGATATAGAACCAGAAAAAAAAAGGCCAGCATCTGCCTCCCTCCCTGTCCACCCACTCCAGAGGCTTCAGTTCAGTGGTGGGGTTTTATTATGACATTTTTGTACATATATACTATATACTCCAATCAAACTTACCCATCTCTCTTTTTTCCCCCTCTCCCTTCTTAAAACAGTTTCAGTAGGTTTCATTTTCCATTTTTTAATATACACCTTTAAATAACTGCACCAGTAATTCAATTTATTATCAGGACTAATGACAATGGTAATTTCAAAGTAGTCTTTTTAGTCTTTTCAGCTTGACATATAAAATACCATAATGAACTTAAACATCAGTTCTGGAAGCTGGACATCTAAGACTGAGGTGCTGGCTGGTTGGTTTTAGGGGGAGGACTTTTTTTGGGGGGGGATCTGGTCATGGAGCCTGAACTCTGGGCCTGGGCACTGTCCCTCAGCTCTTCACTCAAGGCTAGCGCTCTACCACTTGAGCCATAGTGTCACTTCCAGCTTTTTTCTTTTTGCTTATGTGGTGCTGAGGAATCAAACCCAGGGCCTCGGGCATGCAAGGCAAGCGCTCTACCACTGAGCTACCTTCCTAGCCCCAAGCGGGGAGGACTTTTCTCCCAACTTACAGACAGCCTTCTTCATGGTCTTGCCTCATTTTTTACACATGGAGAGATGGACTCTGTCTGCCTCTCCTTCCCCCATCTCTTCCCCATAAGGTTATAGGTCCTATTGGATGAGAACCTTTTCCTTAGGACCTCATCTAACCTTATTTACCTCCTAAAAGCCCTTTCTAAACATAGTCACATAAGGGTTTAGAGCTTTAGCACACAAATTTAATGGGAACACAATTCCGTTCATAACATAGTCTTAAGTTTAAGATATATACATGTATATGTATATATACATCTATGTAGATGTATACATAGATGTATATATACATATACATGTATATATCTTAAACATACGCAATGTGATATAAAAATAGCTGTGATCCATTGATAGCCAGGTCACAAGGACTGGTACTAATATTGTGGTTTGTTGCCTACATTCATCATAGAAGGAAATGCTTACTTTTTCGGAAGAGGTTAGTGAAAATAAATAGGGTTTTCTTGGGTCCGGTCGTGGGGCCTGAACTCTGGGCCTGGGCGCTGTCCCTCAGCTCTTCAGCTCAAGGCTAGCACTCTACCACTTGAGACACAGCGCCACTTCTGGCTTTTTTTTTTCTTATGTGGTGCTGAGGAATCGAACCCAGGGCCTCATGCATGCAAGGTAAGCACTCTACCACTGAGCCACCTTCCCAGCCCATAAATAGGGTTTTCATCTAAGTTCACAGCCATCCTGAACTTAATATAGGGATCCCAGGTTAAGAATCCCTGAAATATTCAAGTAGGACATTCTTTTTTACTGTTATTATAATGGTGATGTAAAGAAGGGTTACAGTTACATAAATCAGGTAAAGAGTGTATTTCTTTTTGCACAGCATCGCCCCTTTCCTCACTCTTATTCTCTCCCTGTTTTTCCCTACCGTCTTCTACCCACAGTTGTAGAGTTCATTTTCAATATAGTGCTAGTGAATACCACTACTGCTTTTGTTCACCCTGTATCCCTTCATTTCCGCCCCTCCCCTTATGTCGCCAAGGGCATAAAGAAGCAGACAGAATAAAAAGGAAAGAAAACAAAAGCAGCAACAACAACAAAAGAAAAGACAAAAACCTCATTTTTATTTCCTGGAGTTGTGGGACATTCTTGTTGGACACACACACAGAGTGGTGAGGACAGATTATAGAATTAGGTGATTTGCCTGTAGCCAGTCACTCAGGCGCAGTATGTGTATTGAATTGAAAAAGGGACATCATTTGTGCTTGTCTTGCTTTCTGATATTTTTCATTGTGTGTTCAAATATCGGAATGTGCTTTATCTTGCAGACAGCAGTAACCTGAATAGTGAACAGAAGAACTCCTGGACTTCTGAGGACTTGTGGCCAGACCCTTCTTTGAAAGGCCAGGCAGAAACCAATGAAGAGGATGCTGGGCTTCGGAAATCCCTGGATAGATTCTATGAAGTGTTTGGACATCCACAGCCAGCCTCTGGGAATCCACTCTCTGCGTTTGTCTGCCAGCACCTGTCCAAGAAAATCCCTGAACTGAGGGACCAGGAGAGCCAGAAATATGCCCTCCGCAGCTTCCAGATGGCACAGGTCATCTTCAACCGGGACGGCTACTCAGCCTTGCAGAGGCATTCCAAGCATGCACACTTCTACCCTCTGGGAGCAGCAGACATCTCTCTGGATGATGAAGAGCCCATCCCAGGGCTATCAAAAGATATCATTTGTTATCTCTTGAAGCACTGCGTGATGACAGACCCATAACTGGTGCTGATGCTGAGAGCAAGCAGTACTGAAGATGATGTGGATGCCTCCCTCAGAATCCCTGGGGGTCTCTTGTCAAATGTTTGTCCCCAGCCCAAACAAAGATAAGTGGTTTATAATTAAAGGCTGGCACCTGTGACTTGGTTCTAGAGAGAGCCAATGAGTTCATAACAAGTTCCCTGTGGTCACCCACTTCCCATGCTACCCCACCACTTGCCTTGACCAAGGCCCTGGCTAGCTAGTTTAGGAATCCAAAGCCCAAGGCTATACTCAGGGTGCCTGGGAAACAGGTCAGCAGCCCTCCTTTTTCTCCCTGTCCTCTTCCTAGTCATCTATGGGTATCTTGAGGGACCCTTTCCTTAATAAATGTCTTTTATCTGAGTCCTTTACTCACTATCTACCCCTGGGAGAACCCTACCTAAGAGAACAAGCCTCTGGGAAATGAGTTTGCTTGCTTGCTTCCTTCCTTCCTTCCTCTCTCTCACTCTCGCTCTCGCTCTCTTTTTTGTCAGTCATGGGGCTTGAACTCTGGGCCTGAGTGCTATCCCTCAGTTCTTCAGCTCAAGGCGAGCACTCTACCACTTGAGCCACAATGCCACTTCCAGTTTTGTGGTGCTTAATTGGAGATAAGAGTCTGCCCTGGCTGACTTTGAACTGTGATCTTCAGGTCTCAACCTCCTGAGTAGCTAGAATTACAGGCATGAGCCACCAGAATCTGGCTGGAAAATGAGTTTTTTAAGTCTATAAATCTGTGTGTGGATTCAAGACTTATACCAAATTATAAAATGGAGACCATGTGATGGAGAACTTAGGTCCTAAAACAACAGAAAGCATAATCATATCATCAGCAACTCTCAAAGCTAAGAATTCCCTGATTTATATTAACTGCCTATGAGAAGGCTATTTGGGCCATAAAATAGCAGCTAAAATTCACAGATTCAAAAGGTTTCTACACCTCCATCAGATGACAGTGTGAAAGGCAAGGAGACAAATATGTGGCACATACCCAAGTATCTAAGCTCAGCTGACATAAAATGGCCTTGCCAATCTGTGCTTGAAGAAAAGAAGAAGAAGGGATAAGGGTGGAAAAGTGCAGCCGTGGAGCTCACTGGACACTGGTGAAAGTGAACTATACAACCTGTGGGTGGAGACGGGAGGGAGGGACTGGGAGAGAGTAAGGGAACAGAAGACACTGTACAAAAGGAAGTGTACTCATTACCTGACTCACGTCAGTGTAATCCCTCTGTATCACATTTATAATAACAATAAAGTAAATCAATTAAAATGAGAATAAAGAGCTTATTCAGATAGAATCCTCCTTCCTCTTATTACTTTTTTCTTCTGCCCTGTCCTTGCGTCCAGAAAGTGCTTGCCCCCAGCAGGGCCTGGCTGCCATTCTTCCCCTATCCTCTGTGCCTGTGTTCTGCCTTGCCAGGGAGATCTTTAAATAGCTGCTTCAGGATTACACTGACAGATGCTCCACTCCACAGGTCATGTCCTGAACCCTGGTTTGAGACTCTGTTGATAGCATTGCATCACCTGGCACCATGTTCTCTGAAACTGCAGTTGGAAGCTTCAGATCATTCTTACATAAATTCCACTGACAGAATCATACCACTTGTTTGGGGGAGGGAGAAGAACAGTGAAAGCTAGCCAACACCAGTAGATTTGGAGAAACTTGAAGTGAAATGTAATTGGCATAAGATTCCAGAAGCTTTCCAAAAAGCAGATTATGCAAATGAGACATCCTAACAGTGCACATTGAAAGGCAGTGTGCCCTCTTTGAGGACTCTGGTCCACAGAGAAACCTTTTAAAGGTTAGCATCTCCGGCTTTTGGTTTAGGGAGAATTGGAGTTAAGAAGCTCTTCCAAGTTGAAGGGCAAAGGCACTAATGGAAGGGAACTTCCATGATAGGAAGCTAGAAATGAACAGGCTTTTGAGAGGAAAGGTACTCAAGAAAATAAGACTCTTCTGACAGGTAATCATTTGCCACTTCTATTTTATGGCCACTCCTTTCTCCCCTGGAAATAATCCTGAAACCAGTAGGACTTACCACGAAAGCCTGCAGGTTAAATAAAATTGGTAGTTTCATTGTTTGTTTAATGTGAAGCATTCTTAGATGACCTTGAAGAATATTTTTCTTTTTAATATATTTTACCAATGAAATGCTTGCAATTGGTCTCCATGGCTACCCACAATAGGGATCTGGGTTATTTTTACAATTTTTTTTTAAAAAGCTAGAAGTAGAGCTGTAGAACACTAGCCTTAAACCAAAAAATCCTCAAGGAAAGAATCCAGGCCCTGAGTTCAAGTCCCAGGACTAGCACACAGGCACACATAAACTTGGGCAAAACCTACAAGCCATTTGGATTCCATGTTGAGATTGAAGTAGCAGCATCCATTTCCCAGGGAGATTTTACTGTCAACAAACCTGTAACCTTCATTAACATAGTGTTGGCAGTGCTCAGCGTGGACCCTGAAAGTTGAGAATGTGAAAGACTAAAAGCCAGAATTACCTTTGGGTAAAACTGTTTGCTGTATACTTACTTTCATCTCAGTAAGTGCTTTTGACAGGTCAGAACAAGATATTTGATTCCCTACAGAGGAGTTCCTTAATTAGATCTCTGTGAGGATAGGATAACATTTTCCATTTATCCCTGTGAACCTTTAATAAAGACTAAAAGATAAGGCTAAGGAGGATTTGGCCTTTGGCATTATTATCAATTCCAGCCTACAGATAAATTCTAGGAGGTCTTATCATGTCCTGAACATTGTGAGTGGCCTATGATATAATCTGAGGCTCTTTTCAGACCTTCCAGGGCCTTGGTGAGGATGAATGTCCTTAGAGAAACATCAAACTCTTTGAAATATTTTAAATTTGTGTAGTATGATTCATTAGTTTATTTTCAAAACTTGGGGCCTTGGGCATGCTAAGCCTGCACTTTTCCACTGAGCTACTCCTGCACATCTTTGTCTAACCTTTTTAAGGGTACATGAAACAGACCATAGTAGCAGTAATTAGCACACACAAAAAATAGCAATACTTAAAACATTTTAAAATCATTTGATTGAATAATAATTACAGTGGAAAGTGCTTACATTGTTTGAGCGGATTAACCAAAGCTACCTATGCAACCTGTATCCTGCCTGAGCTATAAGTGTTGCTATGCAAGCCATGAGCCTCCTTCAAGGAAGGCTTTCCTGTACAGAATTTAGAAGAGCAGTGTGTCCAGATACATTTTCTCAAGGTTCTGGTAGCCCATAAGACCACTTTAGGCATCACATGGACAATGTTTAATTGCTAACTGATTCATTTGATGTGTTAGAAAAATACAACTATTGCCACTAATCCATGCTTTCACAGATGCTGTGTAGGATAAGCGTAACAGGAGTATTAAATACATTTAAAGTAGACTGAAAAAAATAATAATAGAGCAGGTAACATATAGATATTTCAAAAACTAAATATTCTATACCCTGAAATGACTGAGATTGGGAATACAATGGAATAGATTTGATCCATTCCATTCTATAGTCTCCATGACCCTACCCCTTGACTTCTGCAAGGTGATTCCATTGGATTAACTCATATCTACCTTTCCCTCTCTATCCTACAGCCACAACACAAATTATTTTTAAAAAACAAGCCATGCCTGAATAAGCAGAAAATCAAGAAGATAAAACTACCCTTATCAAAAATGAAAATATTGGGGGCTGGGAAGATGACTCAGTGGTAGAGCGCTTGCCTTGCATGCATGAGGCCCTGGGTTCGATTCCTCAGCACCACATAAGCAGAAAAAAACGGAAGTGGTGCTGTGGCTCAAGTGGTAGAGCGCTAGCCTTGAGCTGAAGAGCTGAGGGACAGCGCCCAGGACCAGAGTTCAGGCCAACGACCAGACCCCCCCCCCAAAAAAAAATTTTAACCCCACCATAATTGAAGCAGCAACAAAACAGAAATAGATTCATCAAAGATAAAACAATCCGTCCTTAAACAGATACATGTAAATGCATATAAAGACAGTGTGGGGTGATGGTTGGCTTTTCAAATCCATAAAGGAAAGATGGGGCTAGGGCTATAACTCAGTGCTAGAACACTCACCTAGCATGTACACCTCTTGGATTTGATCCCTAAAACTGAATAATAATAATAATGATAATAATAACAATCTACAGGAAAAGGTAAGAGATTTTAGCAAAGTAAGTTAGAATAATTAACTCCTCACTAAAGAGGAAGGAGTAAAAAAGGCCAGAGTCTTCATTGTATATCAATATGAATTCTAGATAAGTTGAAGATTTCAAAGTAAAAAATTGAAATAATAGAAAATGTTAGCTAAAATATAGGTGATATATATATTACATATACATACCTATGTATTTGTATATGCACAGAGAGAGAAAGAAAGGCTAGAATAAGGATCTTTTAAAGAAAAACACAACAAACTAAAGCTGATGAAAAATGTAATGAAATCAACTGCTTAAAAACATATAACTTCTTACATATGTAAGGCCATAACAAGATCAAAAGTAGGAAAAATAAAACTGGGCGCTGGTGGCTTATGCCTGTCTAGCTACTCAGGAGGCTAAGATCTGAGGATCGCGCCAGCCTGGATAGGAAAGTCCGTGAGACTCTTATCTCCAATAAACCATCAGAAAACTGGAAGAGGCGCTGTGGCTCAAGTGCTAAAACGATTTCCTTGAGCTGAAGAGCTCAGGGACAGCTCCTAGGCCCAGAGTTCAAGCCCCATGACTGGCAAAAAAAAAAAAAAAAGTAGGAAAAATACTTGGAACTCATACAGCAGATATTTTTCCTTTATAAACCAGCATTCTTATCATATTTTAAATTATTAAAAAGACCGCCAAAGAGACAGACTGGCATTGGATAGGAAAGGGAAGTTAGGAGAATATACACACTTGCTCCTCAGTTTATGATGTGGTCTTGGTAATCCATTGAACATATTGTAAGTGAAAAATGCATTGAATGTACATAACCTGCCAGACATCGTAGCTTAGCCAACACAAGGCACTGAAAAGCTGGTTGTTTCCTCTCATGAACATGAACTTGTGGCTGATTGAGAGGAACTGTGCCTTGCTGCCTGACCTCTCTAAAGAGTTTCTCATGTCACTGGTCCAAGAAACTA